CTATATCATCAAAATTGGTTATGAAAACCCAAGGAAAGAGTGATATCTGAATCACCAAGAGCATTTTACTTCCATTTGATAAAATTGGTGTTTTGATTAAATGTGCTTCACTGTAATGAATTCCACAAAGAAAAAGGAATGAAAAATGTCAACTGAACACTTCATCATGGGTTTAGCAACCCACCTCCTCATAAAAATAAGAATCTTCCCAAGTTTTTTAATCTGGTAAATTAGATAAATCTGCTGCTTCCTGGTTTTTTAATTGTCATTCATCTGAAAAGATTCTTAGTATAATAAAATTGCCTTCTTCCTGCCACTTAGTGTTACTGACATCATATTATCTTTTAGATTTTTCAGGAAAAGGAAGGAATAAAAAGCTTCTTTAGCAGAGGGAATTTTCATTTTCCACATTAATACTACATTATAATAAAATAGTTTTATGAAGTTTTGATCCCAAGGCTGAAAGAACAAAAATACCCCTTAAAAATACCTCTCTAGAGACGCATCCCAGGAAAAGCTCTGTCTTCCTATTATGTTACAAGTAGTGTGTGTTTCCCTTCTCCCTACAAGGTGTCAATCAGGACTAATGACTTCCGACTTACAGAATTAATAAAGCAGTATTAGGTTGTATGTTATTTGGTGAGCTCAAATTTACACAATTCTCAAGTTCCCCGTCGCAGTCCCTTGGGGTTACTATAACAAAGTCTCATGACTGGGTGGCTGAGAAACAGTGGACTTTTATTTCTCACAGTTCTGGAGGCTGGAAGTCAGGACACCAGCATGGTCAGTTCTGGCAAGGTCCCCTTTCAGGGTTGCAGAGAGCCATCTTCTTCTCCTATCCTCACACATGCAAAGAGTAACAGAGCTCTCTGGGGTCCCTTGTAGAAGGGCACTAATCCCATTCAGGAGAGCTCCACCCTCATGGCCTAATTATGTCCCCCCAATTTGCTATATTCCAAATATCAGCACATTGGAATTCAGGTTTCAGCATGTGAATGTGGGAAGAGACACATTCAGTCCACTGCACTCCCCTGTGAAGAAATGTTACAGTGAGCCTTTCTGTACAATGCCAGGCACAGGCTTTCTGCATAATGCCAGGCTTTCTGCATAATGCCAGGCACAGGCCACCCCTCCGGAGCTCCTGATCTCTGAGGAGTTATTTTATCAGAGCCTCAGTCTGATAAACTGCAAAAAAAATGAGAAGATGATTGGCATTTCAGTGCAGCTGAATTCCTTCCTGTGCCCCACAGGAGAGACACACGGAGGCAGCAGGAAGAGCACTGACCTTGGAATTAGGAGATGTCACCTGATGTGTGACATTATAGAAGTTACTTACAAGAATGGAGGAGGATTAGATCCTGTGGGCACAGAACCCTGAGACACGACTGAGGTATTGCAAGGGGGCCACGCATATACACAACTGGATAAATACCAGACCCAGGACATACATAAACTTTCCCCAAACATACATAAATGTTATGCGATTAAGAAAGTTCAGATTAACATAAACGGTTATTGATATGAATTGGTTTTTGTCATTGTGGAGTTTCTTACTCAAAAGATACTGAGAATTTAGCATCATGCAGGGGTCCTAGAAGGTTTTTGGCATTTAAAAGAGGGTCCCGTACATTCCAAAGAGTTAAAAATCATTGGTCTAGAACTCAAGATCATCTCTAAAGCTCCTTTACAGGGATTAACACATAACCTATGAATCTACCCTTCCTGCTACAGCAGCTTAGTATCCATTAATATAGATGAGGAAAGAATGGATTAAGCTACCCAACTCCAGGCAGTAACCCCTTATTTTATACTTTCATTTTGAAAATCTTGGCTGGGTGCGTTGGCTCATGCCTGTATTCCCAGCACTTTGGGAGGCTAAGGCAGGTGGATCACCTGAGGTGGGGAGTTTGAGACTACCCTGACCAGCATGGAGCCACCCCATCTCTACTAAAAATACGAAATTAGCAGGGCATGATGGTGCATGCCTGTAATCCCAGCTACTAAGGAGGTTGAGGCAGAAGAATCGCTTGAACCCAGGAGGTGGAGGTTGCAGTGAGCCGAGACTGCACCACTGCACTCCAGCCTGGGCAACAAGAGTAAAACTCTGTCTCAAAAAAAAAAAAAAAAAAGCTAATTTTGAAAAGTTCAAAACAAAAGCAGAAAAAAAAAAGACTTTGCATTTGAGTCAATTATCAGCAAACATTTCTGTTACATCCCAGGCAATCCAAACATTTACCTCTGTGTCCTGAAAAGCCTTGGCAAGGCAACAACGAGTGTACATTTTATATAAAGTCATCGTCATTTAGACTTAAAGCCCATCTTTACCATATTATGGTGGTAGTAATACTAAATGCCTTTTAAACACCATTTAATACCTTCTACAACTTTTACGGTACATCAAATTACAAGCCTGCTCTCGTGAAAGAAAATTGTCGGCATTCTAACATAGCTACATATAAAATGAATAATTGGTAAGTAAGAGCAAAGAGCTTTGAAAACCTAGAGGTATCATATGGATGATAAAAAATAATGCAGACAGACAACCAGTGCCCAGAAACTCAGCAGCTATTCAATAAAAACAATCAGTGAAGTTGGACAAATACCTATGTAGGTTTTTAAACGAATTCCTTCTAGAAAGGGGCTCTGAAAGGTACTGTCCTCAATTTGGACAAAAGGCAGTGTCTCATAACAAACAAAATCACCTACTTGGGAAGCCAGGGAGCGCTGTGAAGGCTGGGGTGTGGGGGAGGTGCTGGAATCGACTGTGTGGCCCTTGGCTTCTAGGTCACTGCTTACAGATCTGCCTGGGGCTCACAGTGACTGAAGAAGGCACAGGTCCCATTGGAAGGGCCGTTCGGTGTCCCCCCCAGACCCCTGTGCAATGTCCAACCACTGGTATCTTTTGCACCAACTTGAGTACGACGGACTGACATCCCAGGATGCCTCCATATCGAAGTTCAGCACAAGAGCCAGTATTTCACTGTCTAGACTGGGTGAAATATTGACTGTGGCTGTCACACATTTCAGTGCAGATCTTTAATATATCGACCCTCCCCTTTCACCATTTTTACATGGGACATTGAACCGCACCGTGAAAAATTATCTTTGCATGGACTTAGAAACAACTAATCACTTCCCTTCTTTCTTACCACCAAAAGCTTATAGAATCAAAATCAGGATGACAAAAAGTTTCTCTAAGTCAGCACATTTTTCTAATTAGTCATCCACCACCACCAGCTCTGAAGCTGAGTCTGAGAAGACAGTCTTACCCTCCCCCAACTCTGATCCTCTCTTCCCACTCCTCCGAGGGAGAGGTGAGGTTGAATGGAGGATCTGACAGTTCAGTCCCCTTCATCTGTAAAGTACTTTTCCCACCTTGGAAACCCTGAGGCTTCGCAGTCCTCAACTCCTCCTCTCCCTCCAGGTACCTTTCCTTTTTCTTTCAAACATGGAGGAGTTGCCCCTAAGCAATTTAGAAAGAAATGTATGGGGCTTATTTAACATGATTGAGGTCCAGGAACATTAGTAAAAGTATGTAAATTAGACTAAATGTAGACTTGGAATTCTTCCTGAGAAAAACCCAGAGGAAAACCTACCAGGAGAGAGTCAACAGAGAAGAAGGGTGTTTATCACACCTTAGCCTTGGTTTCCTGAAGGCACAATCTTTCCCATTTGGATGGCCTTACTCTACTTTCACTTCCAACAGCGCCAGTCTGTTCATTTTCAGATATAAAATATAGGACCTAGCCTTATAAAAAATCACCAACCTGCAGACGCAGCATGATTTGCCTCTTTTCGGGCATTAGTTGCATATTCTCCAAATAATACAAGGAAAAAGTAAAGCTATGGCTGGACCCTCACAGGCAATCTCTGAAGCAATTTTCCCTGGGGCTCAGGCAGGCAACAAATTCTAAGAAGCACCCTTCCCTAATCGCAAGGTAAAAATCCAGAGACAGTCAAGCCAAAGGTTTATA